GGGAGGCGGCGCGGGAGTCTGCGGTCACGTGTGCCTACGGAGCACTTGAAATACACCTAGGCCAAATTGAAGGGTTTAAAGTCTTAGTGGGGGGTGGGGGTGCAGATATTTCACTAATGAGTTTTTATACTGATTGTATGTTGAAAAGATAACATTTGGGGTATAGCGTGTCCACTGTATTACTGAAAGTCAATTTCATCTGTTAACTTACCTAATGTGGCTGCTAGAAGATTTAGGATTTTAGCTCACACTCTATTTCTATTGGACAGTACTGCACTTGGTGATCCTGACCGGGTGGTTCAGGGACCCCTGGTGAGCATTCAAGAGATTATGTGTGACTTTGGGAGACCAGAGTTCACGTGGGGAAAAAGCTTCCAAACATGGAAAAACGTCCCTTTCTTCTAAGGAAAGCTAACATTGATTGAGCCTTAACTAGGTGCCAAGTATCTTTCATGAGTAATAAATTTGGTTAATGATCTTGGTGACTACGGAGGTGTAGGAACTGTAATTGTCCCTATAATGCTTTTGAGAAATTGAGGCTCAGAACGGTTAAGTGACTTACCCAAGGTCACACAGCAAAGCTCTGAATTAAACAGATACACTGACTCCGGACGCTTAACCAGTGAATTACACTTCCCGCTTGTCGGAGGACACTGAGCTTCTCCAGTGTTGCTTGCTCAGTGCCCATAGCACCTTACTGTTTTAAGGCAGAACATCTTAAACGACGTTATCAGCTTGGAAAAGAGCAGCAAAGGTGGAATTCTGCTTGCTTCTGCTCTAATCTGATCATCTGAAGCTGGCCTTCACTCTGGAGTCACAGAATTTATTCAGGATCTTGGGCACCCCTACACAGCGTGAAACAGGATCCCAGTTGGCTGCTGCGTCCAGGTTACTTACAGGCTGTTGAGGAAGAGGAACTAGGAGTAGTGGAGACCAGTACCTGAGACCTTTGCTTGCAACTCAAGCAAATCGTAGAAAACCTCACTGCAAATATTGAAGTTTGTTCTAAGTAACACTCACTAATGGTACTAATGACCATTTATTGAGCACATGCTGCAATCCAGACACTTTGTTAAACCTTTATGAGCAGTGCCATCCAGTTCTAGTGCCCCCCCCCACACACGCATGTGATTTTGGGGAAAAAATGTAAGCATAAAGTTAAAAGAATTGCAGTGACTACCCTCATAACCACCACCTAGATCGTACAAGTCCCATTTCTACCACATTTGCTTTTTACGCGTCAATATTTTTATTATCTTTTGAAGTACATTGTAGCCTCTGGTGTAACACTTCTATCTGCCTATCATTAACTAAAGTTGCATTTGCAGTGACTCTTTTTTGGGTTTTTTTCTTAAGTTTATTTATTTTGAGAGAGAGCAGGGGAGGGGTAGAGAGAGAAAGAGAATCCCGAGCAGGCCCTCCACTGTCAGCGAGGAGTCTGATGCAGGCTCAGTCTCACAAACTGAGATCATGACCTGAGCCGAAATCAAGAGTTGGAGGCTTAACTGACTGAACCCTCCGCCCCCAGGCGCACCATGCAATGACTGCTTTTTAAATGTTCATAGGGGAACATTTTATTTGTTTGCATTTGGGTATTAAATGTTTTGATGCTACCTGTCGCTTTTGAAA